GGTAACGATTTACATTAAAATTTATGATGAATTATAGAACCGCTATTTACCCGAATACTTGTTTTGATTTTGACGGGCAAGGGCGCGTGTCTAACCTACCCGATTGGCTATTCTTCAGTCCAAACCGTAGTTTGAATTCTACAGCTATCATCAATTTCCTTTCACAAAGATAGAGAGCACTTAATCTAAGGAAATCATCCCCATTCGTTTCTGCGAAGTTTTTATTACATTTTCAACTTGGTTATTGGAGTGCAGCTGTAATAATATGGACATAACTCCCAATTGAAGAATCATTTGCAGAACCCTTTAGTGGTTCGGAGCAGATTTATGTTACAGAAACACTCCTTCCTAATGAAAGTCAAAGGATAAAGCTATAACCTGAAGACCGGTCGATGTGGAACTTACATGTTCATGATACGAAAGAATTAAGACGAGTATGAATATATGGTGCATTTATGGAGCGTGGACTAAAAAATAAATCCACAGTGGTAAAGTGATTTCCCGTCTTTCTTGCATTAAAAAGGTGAAAAATCTTAGGGGGTTTATATCTGACTTTACGTAATACACGTTAACGTTCTATATTTGCTTGGAAATTATATACTGATCAGAAAGGGCCGAATAGTCAAGAAGATTAAAGTTATTTCATGAAATTTTCCGAGTAACACAGCGTTATTCAAGATTATTATGGCTATTTCTCTAAGAGCAGTGTCTGTTGACAACATTTTCGTCTAGCCGCACACACATTCTATACATTTAATAAAATGGCGGTAAAACAAAGAAGTATTTGGATTTTGAACGGCAGTATATAATGGTAGGTTCTTCTCAGTTCCTTAACGCGTCTGACCACATGTGCTAGGTGCTATCTTACGCTTGAAACCAGGAGTGACTCTTACTTTTTTAGACACTTTCTTTGTAGGAATATACCGTACCATATGCTTCTCGCTTGTCGCACCATTCCAAACTTTGAGTCCACAAGATGTCAAATGCAGAGGGTGTGTCAAAACCTATCAACATATACTGTCTTATATAGATTATGTATATTTACTTATAAATTTTTGTGATATTCTTACAGGACTATATTAAAGATCTTACAAAAAGTCATTTGTTTTTCTGTTTATCCAACCTGAAGATGGCACAGGTATTCAGTGTTTGACAACGCTTTTACCAGTAACATCTAATATAACTCGTACCTACAAGAGAAATCAAAAGGCAGAATCAAGGAGATCAGAAGTTTTATTTGACGATTGCCAATATATCGGAATTGTCTGATCTAGTCTGGCCAGCGATTGCAGTAGATGTTGAGCACGGCGTTTCCACACGTGATATTGTGCGGATGCATGATCAAGCGCCTTCAGCTAGGTGAGTCCATTAAAACCTATGGTCGGCGTTGAATGTCGAAAACTTACAGAGCTATTTATTTTAGGGATTTATTTACCGCTACAAACCTTATACAGATAGTTAAGTGCAGATCTCATGTCAGACTGTGGTGGCATTAGACCCTAACCACTCGAGATTTGAAACTGAGCACATAATAACTGGGAAGATTTTGTTCAACAATTTTCATGAATATTAAAGATTCCCATTGTGAAAATTAGAACAACACATATAAGGGAACAATTGTTTTCAATTAGATCGTCATCAGGCTTTACTCTAATATACATGAATATTTATACGAAAATTTTAAACCAATCAAGGCAATATGGGTCAATAATCACAATGAAATAGAATAAGTCACTACACATAATAGGTAAAAGTACAAGTTGATAGTAGGAAGACAGGTGAACTGATAATAGTAAGAATAATAAAATACAATAACAAAACTCTTATCAGTAGTTAATCGTTGGAAATAGAAGGTCAAACAAACATGGGTAAATAGGCTAGGAATAGTCAACACAAAACATTAAAGTCATTACGTAATAAGATGTGTGTAAATAATTAGATAGTGAAGAATACAAAGAGGCGGAAAATTACAAACAAATAATGGATGTGGAAATAAGGTTAATGATAACACAAATAGAATAAAATAAATAATGATAATAATAAAATTTAAAAAAATAAACAAATTAAAAAAATTGTTAGTTAGAGTAAAGCCTGATGACGATCTAATTGAAAACAATTGTTGGCTTATATGTGTTGTTCTAATTTTCATGAAGAGAAGGTTAACAATGGGGAACGCGATGATATTCAATTCAATAAATCGGATGGCAAGATAAGTTCGTCCATATGAGCAAAAAATGGTTAAAATAACGTACAATTCATCCAAAGCAAAGTATGACATTAAAAAATGACGATTAACCTTTAATGAGAATGAAATAACAGTGTCTCCAGACTACACAACAACTGAAAATATTTACGGTAACCTCTGAGAAATTGGGGAGAATGAGTCAAGGTCATTGCGGGAACACTTTATCGAGACCGTGTCTCCAACGTACAGAGATGGCCGCTCGGTATATTTTAATGCTGTCATTAAACATATTATCCCATCACCAGCCGAAATATGTTCTTCAAACTTTCCTGTAGACAGTAGTACTGGTTTACACGTACGGTAAGCTGGCGCACACAGTTATGTGATTCCTGCTCAAATAACAAAAAGATTTCTTCTTTACAAAAAAGAATTCAGTACTACAACTCTTAGTTCACTAAAAATAAGTTTTTGACATCGATGCGCATCTGTAGCTCTTCGAAGAAATTCAAGTCTCGTGAACACCCTCCTAATTGGCCACAAAGCTATGAACCCACCATTTCTTCAGAGCGGCCAATAATAAGCCACAAAAGGTTAGAAGTGCAATTCTATACTCATTGGCATAAAACAGAAAAGCATATATGATTAACTTTCCACCCTCTATTGAATTTGTTTGATACTACCAAACACAACAACATAGTTGTGAGTCGTGAACTTAATGTCCCGATACTCTTTTGCCGCTCGATAATTGTGGAAAAAGACTAAGCACACGAACGTCTCTCCAAAATCCTCGTTATTTACCTCCGGTCCCACAATGTGCATTTTACCGCAAGACTTAGAGTCAACCATAATTTTGACTATTTAGCCAGAATTATTAGTTGAATTTCAATACACCAGCACCTACACCTTTAACTTATCGCTATACTTTTATGTCATCAACTTTTTGCTGGCGCCTGAGCCTCGTGTTACTTCAACAAGCAGTGGTCTCCTAAAGGAAAATTTGGGGGTTACTTTTGATTTTTATTAACAGTCAATTAGAAAATCTTTTATCCACTCCAGTGCAGATCAACGAGCGCCTGGAGTTTTCAGCTTTAAAAGGAGTCTATCATACTACACGTTTTTAAATACTTAGCCAAAATCAAGGTAGACAACATCTACAGACGTATCGACAATACACGTCTACGTTCATCTGTCTCTTACCATAGAAAGGTTAGTCGTGTGTAGTGGTAAATAAATACCTAAAATAAACAGTTCTGTAAGTTGTCGACTTTAATGCCGAACTTTTTAATGAACACGCCTGGCTTGGGGCTTTTAGATACGAATCCGCGCCAGATCGTGAATAGGCACGCCATGTAACTCATCCTTTGTAACTGTTAGCCGGCTTAGACCAACCGCTTCTCTACATGTCGATAGCCCTCCAAATATATCTTCGAACTTTTTCGTTTCTGGCTTCTGATTTGACTGGGCTGGTGTGCGTTGATCATAAGGGTGTTATATACAAAGGCGTCGTCACAATCCGAATACTTGTGGCATCTTTACATGCATAATAATCGTTTCCTGAAATCGTGTTACCTGCTATCTAACAAGTAATTTGTTCACATAAAGGTTATAATGACGTTCTTGATGATACTTACCTATGTTTTAACTATGATGCTGGTAAAGCTGACTTTTCTGCAGTTCGTCAGAAGCTTTTCTGGTTCCACTTTATCAGTTAAAGTGACGGTCGAATCCCTCCTGTTCACAGGTAACCAACTAAGACTGATTGACCTCCCAAATACAGTAGTGACAGGAAACAGAGCACATTGCAATTTGTCTCAGGGTTTCAGAGTGTAATTCATCGAGTCCGACTAATTTTTTCCGTGTGTTGATAATTAGCGTATTTATTACGCAGCTTCTTTGGAAGCTCTTCATGAGTACGAAGTACGGTGATATTATTTCTGGGCCTAGTTTTTGTCGAGAAGAGGTTCGTGAACAAAAACTGTCAGGATGAAATCATATACAGCTTCTATTTCGTCTTCATATTCTAAGATACATCTCTTTCAAAATTGAAAATGAGACCAGATGAATGGGATCCTGTTGAGCAACCAACACTTAAGAACAATCGCTTCAGCTGCCTGAATACAACTTGTGACTTGATTCTCTTATTTCCGAGTTAGTGAATCAATGTGTCTTTTTATCTCGCTTTGTTGAAAAATGGCTGTAAGGGTTCATGGTTTTCGCCATAAAAAGTCACATTCCTAATACAGACGCAAATTCTAAAAGGTAACCAGTTCTCTATCAATACTTGACAAAGTCCGTAAACGATTGTCCGACACAGACACGTTTTGAAGCTATCAGGTTAAAAGAATTTTTTCGTGTTATTTTATTATCATCCTCCTAACTAAGGGAATTCTTCCGCTTGTGCTCTATTTACTTTTTGAATTTAAATCGTTTGTGGCTTTCTATTGTTTTACTGTTCCACAATTTAAAGGCCTGACTCAGTGAATTCCCCTAAGGTCGTGTGTGGTTTTCGTGCTTGCCTATGAATGGCATTTTTGCTTTGCATGAGCCCAAATGGATAGTAAACGTCGAGAAGCTTGTGATGTTCAAATGACATTAGCTAATAAAGGATTTACATTCTCGGCTGAAGAAATACAGGAAATCATGGAAGTTCTTAGTGGAGTCTCTCTAAAACTTATCATAACTAATGTTCCTCTTGAGGTTTTCAAGTATGATGTTGCACAGGTTTGATGTCTGACGTTTCTTCAGATATTTGTTTCCTAGGTATGCTTCGAGGACCTATTTAGGTCTTTTGACAGTCAGTCCAAATTCGTATACTTGCCGAGTTTCCAAAGAGTTCTAGTAAGTTAAAAACTTAGTATTTAGTCAGGGACCATATGTTAATTATTTCTATTCAAAAACTCCCATGTGACGCGACTATAGATAAGAACAGCTTACTGACAAATAAATCTTATTGATCATAAACATTTTCTCCAACATTTACGGGTCTATTGATGAGCTTGTAGTTACACTGATTCGTAAATGATCAGCTAGTTTTACTACGATCATCTATTCACTGTCCGCTAGTCATATGCCTCGGAACAGCAATGCAGGTGTGGTAAAAGTTACCTAACGTATATGTATTGCCCAGTGGAAACTAAGGTACGTATTGTAGCGGAGACCAACGAATTTCGAATGATTTCTCAAGTATTGTGTTGTAGCCTGTAGTTTTCTTTTCTACGTCCAGAAAGACGCAGATGAATACCTGCTCAAATTAGAGCATGATCTGAGTCCAAACGTATGCTCTAGAATGGGTAGTATTCCCTAATCAATCCCCTCCAACGATGGCTTATGACAATGTGATCTCTTTGCGCCCATCACCACGTCAGACGGTGCTTCTCCTTATGTTTGAAGTTGGTGTTTGACAGGAATAGACAGTTATCTGGGCATAGTCACATCAGACGGTCGCCCTTATCTGTTCGCTGAGCCACGACAACGTAAGTTCCGCCTTAGTGCCTTTTGGTTCGGCTTAGTTTAGTTACTTAAACATTAAAACCACCTGCGACTATTACTAAATCAGAGTTTAGCTTTTTGACGGAGGTTGGATAACTTCCTATAAAATTCATTTTCAACTTTTTCCGAGCTACAATCAGTGGGAGCGTAATCAGAGACAACGACAAGGAAACGGCGTGTCACTATTTTTCGAGTTCTCACTGTTCGGTTTGGTCGAACTTGAGGCCAGTCGCGCAAAGTTTCTACGTGGGAAGTTTACGGTGTTAGCTCTGCACTTCAAAAGGCCTTACCGCCGGAGTCAGATACTCGTGAGGTAAGTTGAGGCGTGACATTTTTAGGGTCGACTTATTCTAACCCTTTCCTTCCGTCGTGAAAAGATTGTCCGAGGAAAACAACTCACTTTTGTCCTACCCCTATACAGTCAGCAGTACGACTTCACCCTCAGGCCTTAATTTGCTGCTTTTAGACTTACCGTTCTCCATCCGGTCTGTCTGGCATGTTGGGACCTAAAGGTACATATTCTTTAGCCAATATAACTCGGTTGAGTCATCAATATTGGAAAACCTTGCCTCTCTGTTAAGGTAACAACTACGGTTGGGGTTGGTTGCACATGTGGATCTTAGTTATTTATTCGCTAGTCACTTTATTGTTCAGTCCCTGTTAGCATGTTTTTTATTGATGATTTACTTGCTGACTAACACTTAGCCTATAAAACTAAGCAACTTACTTTTACAATCCTTAATTCCAGACATAATCTCTTTGGAGCCATGTCTTAATAACAGTTAAAACTGAAACTCAAATTTGTCAATGTTTCGATCATAGAATAAGCCTAAATTACTGTCATTATCGTGTATGATGCTTAATTCAGAGTTTTGTGGTAAAATAAAAGCGTACATACAGAGTAAAAACTAAGTATCTGTTTATAAAATATATACATATATCAAATCCTACTTTCATTCCACGAGGTGTATCTGTAAGCAATCTATTTGCTCATCTACGATAGATTTACATGAACAGACCAGAAGCTGCGTTGTTGGCACGTTTGGAGACCCAAGGGTGGATGCTTCCTGAACATGTATATGCTAACATACCAAACAGTTCAGTAAATTCTAATAGTGGTGGAATTAATTGTTATATTGGGAATTTCGAAGATAGTAACGACAAAAATGAAATTAATCAAGAAGAGGAGTTCGATTACTGTGATAATCCAGAATGCACGGTTGATTCTGATGAGTACTTTGGTGATGATCGAACCGAAGATTGTAAAGAGAATACAGACTTTCAATCGACTTCACTCGCTAACAATAAACTGTTAAATCAAGATGTAGAAGAAAATTCAGCAGAATTTATTGCATCATCCGTATCTCCTATTGTTAATAGTAGTCGCAATTTTAGAAGCCAGAAGGAAATGTCTCCAGATAGGACTATTTCTGAATTCAAAAATATAAGCAACACGTCTGGTGAAAAGAATATAGATGCACCGGTTTTTTCAAACGAAGTTTGTAAACATGGTAAATATAAGCGACGTAGTTTGGGTTGTTCAACGAAACATTTAGCTCCTCCAAAACCATGTCGACTATTCTTACTTTCTCCGCTGCTTCACCTCCTGTTGGGTGGGAACCAAAACCAGAATGTGAACCTGTTATCAATTATGAACTTTTACATGCCTTAGCTTCATTAGCACCAGGTGAGTCTAATGTGTGCATTTATTCAAGTTACTTGGTGTATGAATATTTTGATAAATAAGTTTTGGGCTAGTTTTAGTAAGTAATGTATGTGCGAATGAGACACTTTGTAATTATTGTAGCGTGGTCATGAAAACTTAAATTTATAACTTAGAGTGCCCTTGCTTATATGACAAATAGTTACTTTAGGGAGACATCGATATTTCCATAAATAAATTGTTGCGGACTATCGAGGACTTCCCATTCTCTTGTTAAACGGTCGAAAATACTCCTAGATATCTTATTTAGTTTCTAGCGTAGGATGGGAGTGGGAATAGGTAAAATGACTAAATAGTTTTGCGTTGTAACATGCAGGTTTGCTATAAAATATACTTTTAAATAAATAGTTTTCAGATTATTCTAAACAGATCTTCACGAAGCATCGTATATTTTCTGGTTCAGCTTCTTGAAAATAAAAATATAACGCGTGACTGATAACATTTGTGCATAATTTAGTTTAAAAATGTTAGACTGACTAACTTGTAGTGGTCGTTTGTGTGTGAAACTGTTCTTAATTCAAAAAGAATGTTGGTCACAACCATAAAATATTTTCGACAAAATCTACATCAAGTCCTTTCAAGAGATTGTAAGATACTTTACTAATGATAAACTTGGTAGGAAAGTTTGGTTGATCGCTAATTGTTTAGCTTACTTCAAGGGATATGGAAAGAGTGTCACATTGGGCTATTGAAAAGGATCCTAAGAAGATACAATTAAGTTATAAGTATTCCTGTATTGATTTTTTTTATTTTTTTGTTATTTCTGTCATTATTTATGATATACAAATACTTATGTATCTGTAGGTGAGGCATTTGAATTGCACCCACGTGATCAGGCTAATCGTCACCCAAGTATTGTGATAACACCATGTGAAACTGGTTTAACGTATGATAAAGATGTGAAAAAACTTCGAATAGTGCAAACTAAGTGCCCAGATCGTAAATGTTGAAAACTGTTATGTGTATACGAATATTATATTCAAGTCCAATGGTATGATGACCAAAAGAAAAATTACCTTTGGTGTCTTTCAGTTAACTATGTTCGAATGACTACGTGCACAATTACTTATAGTTAAATACTCATTTTATTCAGTTTCTCTGCCTGTGACCAAGCTTGTTGCAATTATATATATAATCACTTTGATTGATGTATGAAGTTGACCGGTTGTTTCTACAGATTCTCACTTCATTTTTATTTTCGCGTTTGTCAGATGTCTGACTATGGGCTGTTTTATTATTTCCCATTACTTAGAAACTATTCAACATGTAACGTACTTACTGACTTCTTTACATGATGGATCTTGACATCATACTGTTTTCCCTATATTATATATGTCACTTTCATTTTTTTTCCTGGATGAATGAATTTTTTGATGGGTATGCTGTATACTACTTCATTAACTCACATTAATTATTATGGTATTTAATCTTACTGCCATTTGTGATCAGTTTCTTGTAACTTTCCGTATGTTTACTTTTTCCAGTAACATAGTTTTACTTTCTTATCCGATCTATAAATAATATACACCAGTCAATTGACTTCTCTCCAGTTGTCTTTTTTCTCCAACTGCCATTATTATTTGAAATATTCTTTTCCTACACACTTGTTCTGTTTGCGGTTGATAATGTTGGCTGGAATGAAAGTATGTTACTATGTAGATTAAAGTGACTGTCATTGTTACCGTTATTATCAAAATTGCATTTCGTTATTTTTCATTTTATCGATATATAAATGACCTTATTATTTAGAACAGAAAATGTTTTAAGATTATGTAAAGCAACTTATGTTATACGCATACTTTTGTGTTTCTGATTGCTTTTACTGTCACATTACAAAGTGCAAAATCAAAAGTTAACATAAGGATTTATATATTAAAACTAATATAGTGTATTATATTTAAACACCGAACAAGAACATAATAATAAAATGCTTGGAGCATCAAGAAAAATATTTAACGTACCATTATCATTAAACTCGATTTCCAGTCAGTCATACTATCATGGGTTCTCGAAAATCTCTCTACATTTTAAGAACCTTATGTTCTTGTGGGTCGAACTGCAGCTGCTTAACATGCGTTATTCGATGGTTTCGGCTAGATTACCCATGAACTATAATAAATTTAACCCTGTCCTCCACTCTCTCGTGGTTTGAGTGTTTATTAATCTGCAGGTTGATAGACTAGCAAAATAATTCATTTTATCGTATCTACTAACTAATTGTATTTAAATAATGTAAAAATTAACATGAACAAAAATATAATGCCAGACTGATGAAAATGGTCAATGTCACCTTGATAAATCCATTGATGGGATTTGTCAGTGTTGTAGAGAGTAACGACAGGTATAAGAGACTGTTAGATGGTTTGCTGGAGGCGTTAATCAACAGGAAGCCATGGTTGACATTAATCATTAAGTAGTATTTCCACTCTTTGTGGGGATTGAATCCAAGAAAATATTATTTAAAAAAAACACGGTTTTAATCTAACTAATTCGATTATATCAATACAAATTCAATTTACAGAATCTTCGGTTACTTACAGCTGTCTATTCACTTGTCAAGCGTATAGTTCAATGTAAATTTGTTTAATGTATAGATAGATATTCATTGTAATTAATAAAGATCATCATTCAGTGCTATTGGTAAAATCCGAGTGAGGAATCTATTTGGCAATGATATGATGGGACTGAAAAGTCAAAATTACATTCTTTTACTTATTATGATTTTTTTTGTTCAACATTACTTCCGTTTGTTTAATTGAATATTATGATTAATTAGTGTAATACTTGTTTTGGTTTCCATTGTGATATTTTGTTCGTTATAACATTAATTTATTTATGGATGTGATGTTTTATTCAAGATACGAGATTCTTGTATTAAATTAACATGAAATCGGCTCAGCATGACACACAGCGTGTGATCTGTTATAACTCTAGTTATTTTTCATATTTGTGACTTCATCCTAACTAATAATTAAAATGGGTGTACAAATCAATATATAAATGAGTGTATTTTTAACTAGGGTCGTCGTCATGTTTTGGAGTTAATGAATATTCATTTGTACCAGTCTTGGTATTTTGACTTCGTATCGTGGGAATTACAGTGGTTTCGCGTTTTGCAGGTATAAGTAATAAGCGATTTCGATATTAAAAAAATTGGCGATGCAATCAGTACAGCCTATTTTATATTGATTCTGATCTTTTTAGTATTAATAAATCTTATTTACTGAAAATCCATTGTCGTGGTAGTATTCCATATTCCTGATCTCGCTCAAATAAAACACTTTTTCCACTCATTCAGTTAAAAGTTTTACAATTTCAAACATATCTACCTTTGTGTACAATGAAATATTTTATTCTTCTCAATAATTACAGATCTCTTCTTTAGTAATAAGTTACTGAGTTAACATGTGTCATAAAACTTGAATAAACTTCGTATCAATGTAGCTGGGTCTCGTTACACCAAGTTGTATTCGTAATGATCATTATCCTTTGCCTAATAAAATATCAAGCTTTTGCCAGTGTATTAGAGTTAGTTGTAAGAGAAGTTTAACAAATTGTTTTTCTAAATATTTCATTTATTGTATAATTATTGTAGGATATTGTTTTTTCTCATTAGCGTGTTTAATTCTTATTACAAGCGATATGTACACGAAGATCACTATAATACTAGTAATTATTTTGTTTAGATTATCAAGGAAATCATTAAAAACGAACCGGGAATGAATAAGTTATGTCACCTTAGTTTGAAATTACATTCCCAATAATTCCTGTTGAATTTTTGTTATTCCGGATTTTCAAATTGTAATGAAGAAGGCTTTTTTTCACTAATCCCACATATACTTGAATGTATAGATATTTGATAGAAACTTACAAATTAGTTAAGTAACAGTATGGCCGGATACCATCAGCAACATCCTTCTGTGGGAGGGAACAAACCAGCTTCCAGCTGAAGAAGAAATTAGGAAAAGACGATGGAAATGGATAGGACATACATTACGCAAATCATCAAACTGCATCACGAGGCTAGCCCTAACTTGTAATCCTTAAGGGAAGAGGAAAAGAGGAAAGCTAAAGAACACATTGCGTCGGATTATAGAAGCAGATATGAAAACGATGAATTACAACTGGACGGAGCTCGAAAGAATTGCCCAGGACAGGGTTGGATGGAGAATGCTGGTGAGCGGCCTATGCTGCTTCACGAGCAGTAAAATGCGTAAGTAAGTACTTTCAAATGAGAAAAACTTATTTCTAATATGATCTGGTGGACTGATACAGATCTGCAATTATAAGGGCAAATTAATTAAATGATTTATTTTAATTGGTCTAACGGTAGAATAAACTTTAGTATGATTAGATCGACCGTTGAACATCATGGATGCGAAATTAAGGTTAACAAAGTTTCTGCTATATTGTTTGACCAATTAAAATGTCATTTTCTAGTTTCATTTTTAATCCAATTTGTTGTTAAGTATTAAAGAATCAACTTTCACTTATTTATCTGATATTATAACTTTTAGTTTCATACCAACATATACTGATATGATATCTCTAGGAGTGAAGAGTCGAGTAAATATTGTATTAGTTTAAAAGAGAAAAGTATGTTATTCAGTTAACTGTTCTACAAATATTCATCAATTTAGAGGTTACTTACTTACTTACGCCTGTTACTCCTCGTGGAGGAGCATAGGCCGCCCACCAGCACTCTCCATCCAACCCTGTCCTGGGTAATCCTTTCCAGTTGTTGTTCATCCTTTTCATATCTGCTTCTATTTCCCGACGTAATGTGTTCTTTAGCCTTCCTCTTTTCCGTTTCCTTTCAGTATTCCAAGTTAGGGCCATTGCTTTGCCAATCCTCGTCTGATATAATTTGAAGTGTTTGCATTCAAGATATTAACACCCCGTCTTGAATATAATTCTAATTGACTATTAAGTTAATTTACTATTTATATTCTCAATTTTTGTTTTGCCAATCACTTTTACTGTGCTTACTAGAAATTTGACATTTTCTGTAGTTAATTTTGAGCCAGTAACTAACCTCCATATTCAGTTTTCTATAACCAATAGAATGAATCGACAAAAAATTAACTGGAATAGTCATTTGGTTAAAATATGAAAGTATATCATTTAAGAATGTGTTTACTAAACAGTAAATAAATATTTGTCAATATTAGAAACCAAATCATTGAAAACGCGATGGCGTTTGAATCGAACGATACTGGGTTTGCGTCCCATAGTGAACATAAATTATGAGATGCAGGTACAACAAGCTGACGAGTCCCAAATAGGAAGAACCCCGCGTCCTGGATTCCACTGCTAACCGCTATCCATATTTGCTTATAAAACTTGTGAATTAAGGCAATATCGAGGCAATACACACAGTATGCATATATGCTAATAACAGACTGATCAATTGTAATCTTAAACCTCAATGGAAAGATTCAAGCAAAAAATACCATTAGAACGAATATTTGACAAAAATTAGGCACCGAATATAGAAAAGTCATTATATGTGAAAATTATATCTGAAATAATCCTATTTAATAAAACCAACATTCAAATATCATTGGATTCGTGTAGTATAGATTGATCTGATTTGATTGTTGAAACGTTATATATTTCTTTGTTGATTTTGATGTTGATGATTACCATGAAGGTCCGATAAGTTTGCTGGACGAAACAGTGGAGTTATTTAAAAATTTCAATCGCTGAAATTATTTCACACATGTTGACTTCTCTATACATTCACGTATATCGAATTGACACATAAATCAACTGAAAAAGTCATTTGGTTAAAATATGAAAGCATATCATTTAAGAATCTTAGCAATTATTTTTATTGTGCTAATTTAATTGTAATAAAACATGGTGGTCAGTTTCAATTGACTCATGATTTCAACTATTGAAATTTCTAAACTCTCCACAAAACTTCTGATAATAATCATCTGCTCAC